AAAAATGCTATCGTTGATCTTAAGTGGCCTTGAGGTAAACCCCAACATGCCATTAATCTCTCTGTTGCTCCACCTTTTCTTGACTATATCCCTATTTGTCTGAAGTTTTCCATGAATGTCCTCATTCCCTATGTCATTATTTCTTTTTATTTAAACCTTTCCGTCGGCGAATTCAAAGAAAAATAAAAAAAACAAAAAATCGGCAATAGAAAGATCAAAACTCACTTAAGATTGGCTAATTCTGCTCGAAGTAACCAGAACAGCTTGTGCCCAATACGGTAGTCACAAAGAGCCTTTTTCAAAAGCAAACATGACAGCGGGCTATGTATGACCACGCCTCACATTTCAACGCCTTCAAAAATATGCTATTGGGGGCCTAATATCAGAAATCCGCACTGTTAGAAATGAATGACCTACTTGGATGAATGGAAGAATAAACAATGGAAATGATTGGTTATCTAGCATCACATCCAACTGTGCAACCGCAAAACGTCGAATGATTGGATCCATGCACCTGAAGAAAAGACTTCACAAGTCTTTTCAATTCCAGTTTCAACGTACCATCCGTCCAAAATTTGTCAAATAAAGAAAAAAATTTTAAAAGATCGCGCCGGTTGCAGTGGCACGATCACGAGACAAAATGGCGAAGGGCGTGGTGAGGAGGCGGGAGGGTGAGATAGAGCGCGATTTTTTCGTGGAAAAAAAAGTTCTTTATCCTACTTCGTACTACTACAGATGGGAATATTTCTCCCACCACTGCACTAAAGTCGTAACACTCCCCGCTGAGGGTGGTATTTAGGTGTGAGAAATGGAATGAACTGTACACATAAGAAAGAAAAGAAAGGGGAAGGAAGAGGAGACCGGTTGAAACAACTTTCCAAATGAACAAATAAAATAACTCACTTTTTACTAAGAATACAAAACGCTGTTCCTACGGTAAGGGGACCCCATTTCTCGAGCATCACATACAGTTCAGTAAAATGTTCCCGTTTCCTCCCACGTCACTTCCGCTTCCGCAATCACGAGAAGAGCATCTGGTAAATGCTCACTCACATAATGCCTATAACAAGAAAAACTCATCAAAGTTGAAAAGAAGGCAGACTGCCATGAATTTTGAATGAATTTTATTGAAAAAAAAAACAAAAGGAATAATGTTTGGCAATGATCGGTAATTCTCAAAAAGACACTTGTAAGCTCGTATTACCTAAAAGAAAGTGCTTCTTTTCTTCAAGTGTCTGGAACAGTGAGTCAATCACACGAATGACGCAAGGCTCAGGGATCTGGGTATGAGTTGATCCCAAAACTATGCACGGGTAGCAATACACAAGTATTACAACAATAAAAGAAGGCTTCCATGTTAATCACTTACTTCGGATAATCCAAGCATTTTATCTTCATCCGGATTCGTGCGGCATTCAATGTTATATGACCTACGCAATGTTAGCCGATGTAAAAATCAGCATTTTTATGCTCTCGGACAAGTTTTGTGCCAATTAACCAAAGGGTGGAAGATTCGCCTAAGTGGACTGTACCTTGCATGGCTTGATCTCTAGACCATGTGGCACCTCGTCACTACATCACCCCAAGTCCTATCTAAAACCCTTTGAAAAAGCCTGTCAATACCCTCACATCCTGGCGACAAAAACTCAGGCTCTGGGATGCTCTTCATGCTTTCTTTCCTTAGCAATAGCGCTATCACTGATTCTATGTTACTGAGATTTTCACCATCACTGGCCTTCAACCAGGCGATCACTCTAAATCAGAACTTAGCGTTAACGTCAGTAACAGCGCATTGGCCGCCAATTATTGTGTAACACTGAACAGCAAGGACAAATATAGACTGTTATAGGAAGCTCAAAGTTCGAATAACTGTTACCTTGATTCCATACAAACAACTCTTCTTCTGCTGAAACTACTCCACCCAGCAGTCGTTTTCTTATGGTAGCCAGTATCCTAGCGATACTGAATTCATCGGTCTGCTACAAAATAGAAGAAGAAGTTAATAAATAATGGATCAAGGCAATGATGGTCAAATCATACTGTAAGTGTGAACCTACCATCTTTTGCGGTTCTTCATGCGAGCGAACGAATCGCACAAACGGTGCAAACTGGCTGCTGTCCGGCATTCTCACATGAGGTGAACGATAGCGAGCCAGCTCAATAATCAGCCGACAGCTTGATCCTGATTAGAAAATAACGGATATGGTAAAAAAAATCGAGGAAAATGTTTAAAAAAAACCGAGAGGAACAGTGGAGTCTATTCGTAAGAGGAGTAGCAAGAAGCATCATGGTAGACGGGAAATGAAGGATGAGCTTTGGGATTCAACGACCCCCACGCGCCATTCACTCCGTTTTTATCCAGGATTGCAGGTGTTGAAAATTACAGATTTCCCAAGAAATATATACGCTATGTCCACACTTTCAAATTGAATCACTGCGCTCAATGAGGAGTAATCAATATCCTAGTCTTGGATTGCACAAATTAGAACAAACTTCAATAAAACACTTTGCGTTTTCGATGGCGATACCTATCCACGGTGCGCTCGTGCTCTTGGCGTGTAGGACAACCCGAGATATGTGAGCAACATATAGTAAAATGCGGACTTAAAGGCACGAGTAGGAACCTAACTAATGTGTTATTTTGTTTGGAAATTAGGCTTTGACGGTAAGATCAACGGAGAAAGAATAATGGCACCACTATCACCAGACCCTTGGACCCGGCATTGCGAGGCGGTCTTCACATTCTCTTTGCAAGCCAAGCATCTCATACTCAACTTGCTTCAAGACGACGAAGTTTTGTGGACGCGGATAAATGATTCAATAGACAAAAGTCAAATTCCGAACTCACCTTGTTTCTTATTATTACTGCCGATTCGTCCGTGTGGTGGATATTGTGGCTCACCACCCCATAAGTTCAATGTCACCACTCCTTGCAGTAATTCACCCTTCCAATCAAGTAAGGCGAATATTTGCCCAGCCAAGAAC